GGTCTTGCTGCCTTCTTGTATGTGTGTTAATCTCCTGGCTTCTTTGAAGCCTGCTTTGAGGGCTGTTAATAGTTAATATTGGCATTTGAAGTCCTACTGCTGTAGCCAGAGTTCTCTTTCAAGATACCGTGCTCCACTCATTTCTGAAGGACCATTCAACTCCAAGCTAGATGAAGAGGGATAAGTAAGGCTTTAACTTGCCCTTTCTTCTCATTAACAGCCTGAAGAAAGGGCAATAAGTTGAGGCAAGCAAGTGGAACATAAAATAGTATTTATATTTAATATAAAGACATCAATATAATAATTTTGATCATGTTCATCATATTTCCAAAACAGCAGTGGAGAATTTTGTGCTGTTGGTTTTTTGCAACTGGCGAAGTTAGACTCCTTTAATACTCAAAGCTTGTTAAGCTTCTTGATCTCGTTTAACTAACTGTAACAACAACACAGATGAAGCCTAGTGAAAACACATGTTTAAAGGAAAACACTAACAGTGTTATTGCTGCAGCTAAAAGAGAACATTTTTGCATGTCAAAATGGATGTTGATTTATGGAATAATCTAAAAGCTGTAAAACTTACAAACTTTTTGTTTCTTCAAGTTTCAAGCACTTGGGTTGCTATGCAAGTCTTCTACCAAGAGGCACTTGGGCCACTATTTCCAACCTAACCTTGAATCCAAAGCACCAAGAGGAAGGAAGGCAGGAGCACCTAAGCTGGCAGAATCAGCTTCAGTCTGGGGGCACATTGCTGCTCTCCTGCTTGTGGGTTTGAGATTATAGAGTTGAGATTACTGAGTTCTGTTTCTCTGTACATGAGAAACAGAGCTCAGTTTGATGCTGAGCAGATCAGGGTAGGCTTGTCTGGGCTATTGTGTGCTGCTGATTTACCTGCTGCTCCTTTTCTTAATACTTAAGTAAAGAGTGCCTGTCCCTTGGCTATCTATTTTCAAAACTGGAAAAAAATGTTATATTCATACATTAAGGAATGAAATGAATATATATGAAGTGGTAGAGTTGTCAGACTATAAAAGTAGGTGTGCTGTTGGCTGGCTGCATACATGGGTAAGTAGGGAGTGTGGACAGAAGTCCTGTGACTCAGACTGCTGGATTTTACCAACCCCTGGCATAATCCATTCCTATTTCCTCAGCGTGCCTTTCAGGAAAGGGAAATAAATCACTTCAGCATCAGAAATACCCTCAAAATGTTGCACTTGGAAGGACTTATTAAAGCATTCAAAATTTGAGAGGCATAGAAAAGGTGTATTTGGCTAAAGAAAAGAGAAGTTTAAAGGCCCAGGTTGTCCAGGGAACTCCAAAGCAAATTACTTTATGTCCATAAAACAGGGCAGGGAGCCACTTTCTCCTAGAAAAATAGTGTGACCTAGAAAGCAGGCTCCACTTGTGTGTTAGAAGTGCGTAATTCTGCTCTTGTTTAACTTAAGTCTTTTAATAATCCAAGAAGTTTGGTTGATTTTGTTTCCTTGCTGATGAAAAGTGAAACTATAGAGACAATTAAGCATTAATTCCTGAAAAGATTAGAAACTGAGTTTAACCAACATCATCACTGTCCATTCATTAAGTATGATTATATTGGACTGCATTAAAGGCAATTATTCCCCATTGGTTATTTGTACCATTCCTAAAGCATCTGAGTTATTAAATTCTTTGAATATGTAGTATTTACCCATCTGTATTAGAGTCACAGAGTCTGGATACTATGCTTTTTCCCAGATCATATGTTTAAACTTCTTACTTTGGGACAGGCAGGGAAATACTTTGAAATGCTTGGTTTTGCACTGAATATACTTGCATAGTTCTCAAGATTCATAAATCTAGCAAGGCATTCAGTGCAAATTTGTCATTTTTTTAATAAGAAAAGTCAAAGACCTGACACATCATAGATAACTGCAGTGTGTCATTGCAGAGGAGAAGCTACTATACTAGCATTCCATGTTGTGTAGATGTGTATAGGGCTATAAATTCTGGTAGAATTACATGCACGCAGGATAATATTTTTAGGTTTATTCCTCCCTGAGTGAAACCTTCTAAGATTGTCTTTAGAAAAATATACCTTCATTATATTCTCCTATCTCCTAAACCTAATATCTGCAGCAGTAATGAAGTTGTATTCATAAAGGCACGACGGTTTCTGAGAGCCAAGACAGGTTTAAGTTTGAGGGGATGGAGAAGAAGGAAAAGGAAGCAATAGCTGGAGATATTTGCCACAGTAACTTCTCATCTCCTCTGTACAATGAATAATAGGGATTTTTTTTTTTCATTTATTTTAAAGTGTGTTTACTGTAAATGTGCTTTTCCCCACAGAATTTAGAAGCTAGTACCTTTCCTTCTTTTCTTTCAACTCACTGCTGCATGAAGGAATTGTTAGTTTTGGCACCTTTTTGGAATTAAACATTCCTCGGTAGAGGACGTTGCATGTAATGAAAATAAGGTAGAAAGCTTTCAATCTATGATTACACAAACCTGTTTCAAAATACTATTTTGTATTCTAAGAAACTTGTCCTTTTGGTATAGTGGGTAAAACAATTTCCTATATGCTTGTGTTTACAGGATCCTGGTTAGAAAAAACTCACCATCTAGTTGTCAAAGAAGACAGAAGCATCCAGCTTCCATTGACTTGTAAAAGATTTATGGAAATCTGTCAGTTTTCAGTTGGATGCAACTGCAGTATTATTCTATCTGTATATGTATTCTAATCTGGATCAGCTTGCTGAGCTTCTACATAGAAAATGAAATCTGTTGATGGTAGTAAAAGAGCATTTCATTAATTTCAGCATGGCTAATGAGTAATATATTTCATTTCACCTATTTTGAGTAATAAGCATGGAGAACAATCTATTTCAGCTGTAGCTGATCTTTTTTATCAAAGGACTAGTCACATACCAGAAATCTGACAGCAAAGCCAAAAGCTATGTTTTCTAGTACATGTACAATGGGTATTCATACAGAAACATGTTTCATGTGCAGACAAGTATCTGCAATAAACCTATTAATGTATGTGCATTAGATGTTTTTGCAGAATGCTGTTTGCATGTTTGTATAACAGTATGGTCTTAGGCTCCACTTTTATTTTAGTAGCTGAAAGGAAAAATATATTCTTCCATGATAAAATATTTATATACTATATCAAGCAGAAGTTAGAATGCTAGACCTAAGGAGAATTCCACACAAGTTATAGTGCAACTGTTCCTCATGCTTTTTACAGGCTTTAAGAGTTTGGAGAATCATGTCCCCATGGATTTACTGAATGGGGAATCCTCTTGTGTCTGACTTAACAGCCTTAGCAACCTCTTTGTTAAGACTCCCTGAAGAGACTCCTGGGTTGTTCCTGGGAAGGCCCTGTACAGATTTATATACCTGAAGCAATAACCAGCAGATTGTGCAGGGCTTCTTGACTCTTTACCAGCCCATTTTGATGAATTTAGTGGTTGGATTTGACTTGGGTGAAGTATGTCTGTTGCAGTAACATCTTGCCAGCAAAGACATTGCTGGCTGCAGCTAGGATCATCTCTCCTTCCTTACTGTGGATGAGGGTGTCTTGCCATTAGGAAAAAAGCTCTGTGCCTTGATAAGCAGGAGGAATATCCCTGCATATCTGGATATTACTCTGTGGACTGCTGTTGATTTGTTAAGAGAGCTAAAGGATTAAGAGGATACAATCCCATCAGCTCCAAAATCTGTGAGGTATGTTACGTGTCCAGCAGTATGCCAGAGACAACAACTGTACTGTGGGGGTTGTTGGGGTTACTACAGTCTCAGGTGTCTAAAAACTGTCAGTGATGTTCATGGAGATGTGCCTGGGCTGACAAACTAGTGGTGGTAGCACAGAGCTCACTCTTTGCCAGTGCCATGAGAGGCAAAGGAGACTTGACTTTCTAGTTTAAAGCTAGCTTGCATGTATCTGTAGTTAGAAATGACAGAAGATTAAATCCTCCTGTGTTATTCTGCCACTTGGACCGTACTTACTTGGAACTACTGTTGCAAAATGCTGCAAGATGTTTAAAAGCATTATTGAGATATCAGTGTAGGGCACCTCATGGAGCAACTCTTCAACTTCTTAGTTTAATATCAGTATATTAAAACATTTTATTCATAAATCAAACTGCTGGGTAATTGTACAGTTTTTAAAGCTTCCTTTCCTTGGTTATCACCACATACTGAAGTTACATGACATGATGGCAATTGCTGTTTGCGTCGGTACAGACTTCAGCAAAAATGCTGAATGACACAACATGCATTATTGTGAGGAACTGCTCCTGGTGACATTTATGTGTTCTTGTCCACCATCTCTGTTAAATTTAAGATTCATTTTTGTCTAAAGTAAAAAGTGCTATTTTAGCAATTTGTGAGGTATCATATATGCACCTGGCACTTAATATCTAAGAACAGTAACACTTTTTAAATGCAGATGTCTTTAGGCCACACTTGCAGACAGAGTACAATGTAAGAGCCAAAACAAGGCTGACAAAAACTTTCCATTCATGCTGCAACTTTTATTTCTCACAGTAAATCTTGGGGTACTTATTGCTCATGGATCATTGGCAAAATCTAGGATGTATTCAATGTAATTTTTGCAGGTAACTTGTCAAAGGGTTGAGATTTCCATCATGGTGTTTTAGCCCACACAGAGTTCAGGAGGGTATATATAAATCATGCATTTTTTGGACAGGAAAGGATCATTAATGATAGCATTCACAAATATTAAATTACTTACAGCTAGGCAACGTTAATGAAAGTTTTCTTCCTTGGTTGAAATGTGTTGAAATTCAATTCTTATTAATGTGAGAGACTACAAGATGTTATTGAGAACAATATTCCGCTGCACTAGTAAAGAAAGTTTTCCTTGCTTCATATTCTGAGTAGTATTCTTCACTTACAGGTGAGCAAATTGCAATATGCAATTAAAAACATGCAGAAGATAGGAGCAATAATACAATATATAAAAGTTTTCCTGTTTGACGTGTTGTTTTGCTGTTCTAAAGGTATATGACCGATGGTGGTCTGGGGCTCTATACTCGAAGGCTAAACCGGCTGCCTGATGGCATGGCTGCGGTGAGGGAGACGATGCAGCGCAACACTTCACTGGGGCTTGGAGATGCTGACAGGTAAGGTCTCATCAGCAAGTGCTCACCTGTAACACCATGCTTGATTCATGCTGTATGTAATGCATATTGGATCTCAGAGATGAAATAGCTTTGGGAATTCAGATACTGAATACATGGATATAACCTTCTCCAGAGTATTTTAGGTTTATATGTTCATAGAGGTGTCAGGATAAATGCTGACTTGATGTCTTCTGATTTGCTTTCCTGGAATCTCATCTAGTTTTCTGTGCACAGGATACAGCACAAGAAAATATAAAACTTCTATTTTGATAGCATTTGAAATAAAAAAGACCAAATTTTCTTCTCATTTCCACTGATTCTTCCAAATCCAGCGATTCAGTGTGAACAGTCAAGGCCAAAGATCAAGAATTAGGGGACTAAAAACCATAATTTATGGGAGTGCGATCATAAATGAAGCTAAGGAGATGGACAGTAATGAGACTTATATTCTGTTAGAGCTGAGGTATATGGGTTAAATACCTCTGCTTTTAATGCCATCAGCCTATAGCTGCTTCTTTCCCTTCCAAGCTCAAAGCCTGATGGGTGTTGATGTAGTTAAGTGCAGCACATTCATTTTCTTCTATGAGGGGCCCCTAAGTATAAAACATGGATTTTGAGGTACAGGTTTGAACCAATTTCTGAACTAAAAGTTTTTTCTCATTTTGTTACTGGTAAGACTTTCCAGGGACATAATATTAGTTATCTGAGTTTGATAAGAATGTTACTTTCTTGGTTGTGATCCATAGATTACTAAGGGAATACAAGTGCTAGAGAATCTATCCTTGTTTCTAAAGAAAGCTGTACTAAATTTCCTTTGGTGTTCTCTTGCTATTAGGAAAGAGCAGGTTGGTATAATTAAATATATAATAATAGAGATTATATTCTCATTTAAGTAACAGTCAGCCTTCTGGAGAGCTAGTGATACATTCCTCATCCTTGATTCCTTCTCCCATCCAGTATTTTTTGTGCTTGCAACACTTTTTTTTGGCATGTAAATTATTCTCACATTTTATTTGCCAAGCTTCTTCCCTGAAGATACCACACATCAGGACCAATTGCACATGTTCCACAAGAGAGATTAGTTGTGTGTTTAAATATATTTCACTTAGAAGGGGACTGTGGCACTCTGAAATGTAGTTTGTTTCCATTGTTTGTTTTGAAAAATCATTCATATGGAGGGGGTGGACTTCACATACAGTAAATAAAGACTCTGTATGGTTGGCAATATAGCTGCAACACGGGATGAAAATTGGCATAAGGAAAAGGAGTTGAATAAAACAGTATGGTAATGAATTGCTGTCTTCATGGTGTGACTGGAGGCAGCAAGCAGGAGTGCTGAGCTGCTTTATGGGTACACGATGGAGATAACATTCAGCTTGTTCAAAGCAGGTGTTAATAGAATGCATGGGAGGAGGAGTGTGAGAGGCTATGAACCTTTGAGTATAAGGTTAATCATTAAAAGGTTATCAGAGGAATTTTTGCAATATGCTGACTTGGTTAGTTTCTTGTGTTGCTAATTGTAGAAGTTTAGTGGTGAAGCTTTTACTTGGTGGCTCAGCTCATAGAAGGTACCTTTTCCCCTGCAGCAGGGAAATCCAAACAAGGCAATTTAATTTAATGCTTGATTGCCAGGTTAATGGAATCACTGCACAACACAGCTGAGCCTATTTATTTACTTCAAGGCAATTTGTGTTTGCACAGAACAAAGGCATTTTGAATGAAAAAAAAAGCATTGAAAATGCCTTTTTATTTAGTTCATGAAATTATTTTCTCTTTTTAAAGTTGCAAATGAGCCACCTATGATTTTGACTCTTCTACATATATGAACTTGGTATGTACCATCTGGTTATTGAAGTTGATTTCATATTATCAGGTGCAGCTGCGTAATCTGAGATTTACTGCCCTTTCTTTCATGTATGTAACTTGCATTTATAGAGCCATATGGATAAGAGGGACGAAATTTGAAGCTTAGGTTTGAGTAAATCTTTCTATAATTGCTTTCTTGTATAACCTATTATTCACAAAAGATAGTTCAACCTCTGATGATTTATCATATCCTTGTGAATAGGAAAAAAGACTATTAATGAATGTAAGCTTGTCAAAGGTGGCTTTAATGCTGTTATTGGGGAGATATCTATATGGCTTTTCAAAGAATCCTCAGTGATGAAGTGCTTAAATAGCTACTTCCAAGCATGACTAACTTGGATTGTTTCATTTTCAAATGCTATTTGAGGTTGCATGAATTACATGTCTTTGCATGAGAGTAATAAGGCACAAAAAGGTCTTCCCAGCTTCTGACTATAAGGACCTGTCTCATCAGATAGCAGATTACCTTGTCACAGTACTTCCAACAGCTACAGCATTGGTGAACTGTAGGTAAAACATGACTTGGGTGTTTAGCATGTTCTTCAAGAGTGTTTCTGTATCATGGTTCAGATCTATGATGACTACAAGGACAGTCTTGTCACACTCTCAGTTAAAAACAGGGCCATATTCCGTTTAACTCTTAGGATTTGTGACTGAAGCTGGCTTCTGGCAGTACATAGCATTTTTGGTAGCATTTCCCACCTTTGGCAAGGTTTTTGGATAATCCCAAAGGATTCTGTGGAACCAGGAGAGGAGATGAACAGGAAAGAACTGGAAGTGAAGCCAAAACAGAGCAGAGAGCCAAAGGGCATCCCATGCAGAGCATGGGTTTATCACCATTGATACCAAGTGCAGATTTTTTTCAGATGCTGTGGTTTGTAGTAACTTCTACGTATGGCAAAAAAACAGGGCTCTCAAAAATAGCTGGAGTAGTATTTTGCTGTTAATTTGCATTTCATGAAAACAGATTAATGTTATTTAGGATTATGTCCCTGGGCTTAGGTAGTAGTCAACACTTCACATTCATTCATGGAGTACAACCTTTTGACTAGACTTTGCTTAAATTCACTAACTGCAATTTAATTCCTTGAATCATGCTACAGTGATGACTAAAAAGGTGGGTTAGTGTTGCGTGCCAGAGGGAGATAGCTGGACTGCCTTCATAACCATGGGAATTTGGATCACACTTCAGAAGAGCTGAAAAGCAAGTTGAAGCAAGTCATCAACTTGGGGGCCATACTAGCCTGTTCTGAAAAGCAGGGAGAGAAGGAAATGTCACTGCTTTTGGAAGGAGGCAAATGCCACGGAAAGTAGAATTACAGACATAGTGTTGATGTGTATCACATAAGAAGCTGCATCAAATGTTCTTTTTAGGCCCTACTGTTGTAGACAATGAAAAAATCTTACAATAAAAGATTTTTAAAAAGAGAATTGTTGCTAGGATATTATTTTTGTAGTTTTATTGTAGGATAAGACAGTTTGAAGTTATGAGTGTATATTTATTTGGTTTTTCTTCTTAACTGGGACAATGCAGCTAAAATTAAACGAAAGTGCCTGCAATTCCTGGTTTTGCAGATGAGGAGGGGAAGACATAGACAGAATAGTCTTTGTCTTAAAAAGTTAAAACATGACTGGGTTATATCTTAAACTTCAGATGGATCCAACCCTTATAGAAATACATAGAAATAGATATTCCTGCGTTGTAATGGTAGTGGAATTCCCATCATCTCCTTCCCCCACAGCATCTCCTGCTCCTGCAGTGCTCCCTCAGGAGTGTTGACGTGTTTGTGGACTTCCACAGTATATGAGCTTGCAAGGAGTTTCATCAGGTATTTCATGTGAATGGGTTTGTGGACAGAGGATGTCAGGAGAAGGAGTAACTATATTAATTGAAATCATCTATGGACTTCAGGAGATCTCAGTGAAGTTGCTGCCAAGCTCTTGCCACTCTACCAGGAAGATTTCATGCCAGCAGTTTCTAGTTCTTTCACTTCCAGAAAGCCCTGGCAATTGTAATTTGTATTCAGTTGTTATCATTAAAAAAAAAAAAAAAGGTATAAATATTACTTTTCCCATTTTTTTCTAGGACAGTGAAGACCCATTTAGAAGGATCCCATACACTAAATAAACATAGCTTTATATAAAATAATTTTAAATCCTCTGAATTGTTTTAAGATAACATAGATCAGAAAGTGTCAATACCTGAGCATTCATTGCTCAGTGTATTTGTGCTATGAGTCACTGCAATTAGTAAATACATGCTGATACATAGTTGCTTAACAGCAAAGTCACAAGACTGGTGAAATTACTCCCATCTAACTCAGTCTTCTGCTCTGCTTGATCGTCTTTTGGGATTTTATCACTAGGTTAGAAAGAAATACTACTGCTTCTAAATACGCAAGTTGTACCTGGGTACCTGCAGATACCTATCTCTGTCTTTGAAAGATCTCACATTTATCTTGAGAACTGACTCACAAAAACAGGGAAATTCACATTGCAAAGATTCTTTGAGGTTTATGGCCTTTGGATCTTCCAATTAGAGTCACAATACCATATACTTTAATTTTCTAAGGAATCTTTTAACAAGTTGTAATCCAAAGTGGTTTTAAGTTACATAAAGTTATTGCAAAGTTAAGCAACACATAGTAGCTGAAGGCAAAGGTATAGTAGCTTGGGCTACTGACCTGAGGGCTGGAATTAGCAGTACCAAAAGGGAAAAACAAAGACATTCTACTTCCAAACAAGGCAAAGTTAGTCAAGGGAAGCCATGTCTTTTAGCAGATCCGTTTCAGAGGGCTAAAGATGACAAACTTCTGGGCATGTAAGCTTTTCTTCAGGTCTAAAATGGACAGAAGACTTTTCATTACTAAATGTAAGTTGAAGAACACTTGTTTAAATTTACCAGGATGGTTTAGTAGTTTAGACTAACTCTTAAAGACAGACAATACCTATGGAGCAGAGGAAGATTTAGGAAGGAAAGGCATCATCAAATGTTTGTGTGCTATAAAAAAGAGATGGATGATTTATCACCTGTGTAACATGGAGGAGAGGGAGCACATTATTACAGGCTGTAAATCCCATCTCTGTATTGAATCTATGGTTTTTAATATCTATCAGGGTTACTATTTTAATAT